ATATATATATATATATTCAGGGTGTTTTTTTTTTTTTAAGCTTAACAGATTTAAAAGAAAAACGTGAGAGTTACACTTATGCCGCTTGTGGAGGTGAGTTATACGGCCAGGGGGACATATTATAGGGGGCTAATCATAACTATCGGTCGTCTAATTAATTAAAATTTGTTAATTAACCTTTTACTTAATGAAAATAGACATATTGTTCCAATTAGAAACTTGCTCAGCGTCATCGAAAATCACTAAATCAGTCATTTTCAGAAGGACTTTCGGCGCGTGAGAAGCGTAGTATTGTACTAAAGTTACCGCTCGTGGAGCAGGTACAAAGCTGGCGCTAGATAAGAGACGGAAAAATCGCGCGGGCGCCTCATCGCAACCGCTAGCTTTGTACCTGCTCCACGAGTGTTAACTTTAGTGCACTACTACGCTTCTCACGCGCTCAAAGTCTTCCTGAAAATTACTGATCTAGTGGTTTTCGATTATATTAGATTAGATATATGCTATCTTGTGAAGTCTATCGGGTTCGAACGAAATGCGAACAGCGGAGCGCGTGGCCTACGATACATGCCCTTGTTGCCTCCAGGAAACCCGGAGGCAACAAGGAACTGATACATCTGCAGAGTGGAAAGGGGTCTGCGAAGGTGTGCGCCTACTTCCGAGGTGCATCCAAAAAAGAGCACATGAAGGCTCCCCTCGCAGTCCCTCCCTCCACTCCGCACACCGTGCAGTACAGCCAAAGCTACAGGGGAGAGAGCGTATGTCTTCCTGTTCGAGAGGAGGGAAGGGATGAACGGGAGAGAAGGGCTGGGATTCCCCTGTTCCTCCTTTCCCTCCTCTTGAACCGGTCGGGATCCACTCTCTTCCATGTAGCTTTGGCACGGTTTTAGTTTGCGCAGCATAGTGACCGTCACGTCACCGATTCCTGCGATCCGCACCTCGTCCGCGGACGCGCGGACTGATAACGTCGAGCCCTTTTTACTAGCGGAGTTTTGGCGGGAGATTGACTTGTAAAGCGTTTAGTCTAAAAATACTATGTTTTCCTGTTTTTTTTTTTTGTCTTTTTTTACTAATAAAACAAAAATGGCACATCGTTGTGTTTTGTGCGTTCGCTGGTTCATTTTGTCGTGCAATTGTTGGTTCCACGCGTGAAAGAAACTGCAGAAACTTTGTCCAGCTGACGACGCAGATTCCGGTACTCCTCCGGATCCACGTCAAGAAGCTCCCGTCAAAACTCGTCCAGCACGCCGCAGTAATTCTTGAATTTCCAATCAGCCTTTCACCAAGCAAGACCTTTCTTGTGGCAGTGGTGTACCTGAGCGTTGTGCACGAGCGCTCCGCGTGAAGGCATCTCCAAACTCACCTCCGCGATCCCTGAACTTCGTCGCTTTTAAACCAAAGCCTTCTCGAGCAGGACGCATGGCTTTGTCACTGTCATTGCTTGGGTTAGTGAAGCTAGTGGCGCTTCGCTCGACGCTTATCACGGTATTATGTCTCGACCTGTACATAACAGCGGCGTACTATTCTTTATCGAGGTAGCAAACGTCGATTTGTCTTTTGGACAACGGTGCTGCACGGTGCGATGTTGGAGTTTCGCGGCACTGTGTGGTGGCGAAGAGGTTCGGTCCGTCCTCGCTGGCGTCTGCTCGTCGTCTGCCTCGTGTGAATGCACTTGGGAGACGGACGAACCGTGGACATGGTCGTCACGTCATCAACCCGTCCGCGAATCAGACTGTCGTGTGAATCGGCCAATACCCGACAGTGCACGCTTCAAACGCCAAAAGTATCGCTGCTTCTTTAGACAAGCACCCCTTGTAAGAATTAGTTTGCGCGGCGTATGAATAATACGCAAAACTTCCTCTTTTTTTTTTCTTTCTTGAGGTGAAAACGAGTATACAGCTGCCCGCAAATAATTCGTCGCGATAACTCCTTGAATGACATCGATAATATACATTTGCTTCTGAATGCACTTCCGAGCTCGCCTGCTCGGCCTTTCGGCGAATATCAACGCGATAAAAGATTTTGCACACGCCACGGCAGATGTGCAAGCTTTGTAGAAGGATCAATGAGTTCAACACCCGTCCCTAACGTTGATGTCGCACTTTGTATGCTCCTTTGCATGTCTGAAGTGCAGCGCCGCACAACCCGTTTCGTGGTGAAGCGCGTCGAAAATTACCTGCGCTCTAAAATGAAGCACCGGCCCGGCTCCCTTGCACTGTCACCATCGAGTCTAAATTTCTGCACTTGACGGTGTCATAACCGTTGTGACTTGGAGCTATTTCAAGGCGAGCCGGTTCTTTGCAGTTCCTAAACTACTGCGTAGTGGCGTTAGGGCTTTGGTAATCACCTCACAAGTTCCCTGGAAACTTGAGCGCAGAATTATGTTTTCATGCACGTTTTTTGTGAGTAGGGGCAATACCTGCTTTTTTGCGCGCTCCCATCTAATACTTTTCTATGGGAATAGACCACATGCAAAACTAAAAGCGCCATCTAGTGTATTCATAACCAATGATAAAATCTCCGCTATATTGGGGGGTTTCTGTACCGATAGTTTTCCCCGAGAGACAATGGTCCCGTTAAAGTGAGAGTCGTAAATCTAAAATACGATCACGTACTGCAAATCCAGTACGAACCTTTCAGACAACGTCTTCGGTGGAGACAGTTCCCTGGCCTGGATGGCCCAGTTCACTGCTTGAGTGACGAGTCTTGCGACCTCATTGCTGACAATTCCTTTTCCAGAATTTCGTGACCATCCTTTTTCTCTTTGAACCAAAACTAAGCATCAACCCATTGAGATCACAAATACATTTTCCTAATATCATGAAAACCCAGTTAAATGCAGATGCGCCTCGTCCACTTCTTGACTATAGTCGGTTACAGGTCAAGAAGGTAGGAGAAGCTCCTCCCATAAGCGGTGACGCGCCTGTTTCAAATCTCTCCGCAGTCGAAAGAAGAGTTCACTGGAAACGCTCCTTGTTCTGCTTCAATGGATTCCCACTTGTCTCCGATCCCACTTTTCCAGAAAGCGACCTTTGTATTCATTGAAGGGGGAACCGAGCCCCTGAAAGCAGCCTTTGTATCCATCGGAGGGGGGAAGCTAATCCCCGAAAGTCGTATTTGTTTCCGTCGGTGGGGTAAAACTCTAATCTCCCTCTCGTGGGTTCCACAATGCTAGGTCAAAGTCGAAAGATAAAGCAAATATGTAAAGAAAGGCAAGACCCTCCTCGCGCGTTGGCCGCGACGTCACGGAAACAGTGGGACGCCATTGGATGCGGAGGTGGCGGAGGGATATCTTATTCCCTTTGAGGGGCATTTGCCGCTACCTTCTTAACCTGTAACTGACTATAGGGTCGGCCGCACGTAAAGTTGTTAAGAATTCTCTCGAGTAAATTGGGCGTAAAAAAAGAAAGACCTCATCGTTCCCAGCATGTAGTACGTGCGGCCGAGATGCCAGACACTTTTCTTTTTCTCGCGCTACCAAAGCATGGCGCTGATAGCACCATCATCACACTTTTTCCCTCTTTAACGGTAAAAGATAATACCGTCCTGAATTCTAGACACAGGATCACTGCAATTTAAAGCTTGTAATGATTCACTGGCTTTCTGGTTCGCAAAGATCGTCGCTTCTGCGGGCTTTTTTGGGGAAGCTGGTAAAATCTGGAATGAAGCTTCTTGCGTTTGCGGAGATCCTGTGCCACTATGCGCTTGTTTTGGCGTTAGAAAGTCTTTGCTGGCGAAAACTTCAGTTGTCCTTCTTTGTTAAGCGGAGGAGTCACTTGCTCCGTGCTGCATGTTCTCTGTTGACAGAGGTGGAAGGCGATGATCTTAAAGGTGATCCCCATGACGTACGACATGCGGTCGTTAGAACCTGCCGAGACTTCATCTTTTTTCCTGACGACTGTGGAAGTGGCAGGAAACCCACTTCGAATGGAAATTGACACAGAAACCAGCGTCTCCATTATCGGACAAAGGTCGTTTCAAGACCGATTTCCCGAGCTTCAGTGCGAGCCTTCTGACGTCGTCCTAAGAAGTTATCGCGGTGACCTTTCTATAGGGTCCGAAGAAAGGTCGCCGTGTCCGTCTGATTATTGAATAAAAAAGCAACGCCACCAAAGCATGGCACCGATAGCCCCATCATCACAGACGGCGCTGTGGACAGCCTCATGAAACGGAGTATTTAAGCATATAAAGCGAAAAATAGGGCCTCTAACCAAAAGTTTAATAAAAAGTAAACCCGACGTTTCGAGATCAGTTCGATCCCTAGTTCACTGGTGATGCTTTTTAACGGAACCTCCTGTCATTCCCAAAATGTTGTCTGTCCGTCCGTATATTTTCCGCTAAATTTAGCGGGACAAATGACGTCACGTGACCTATACTTCAATTTAGTTCCCCCGCTAAATTTAACGGGAAAATTCACGTCTTTGGACCCAAACATGAATTCAGTTTCCCTGCTAAATTTTTAGTACGTGCGAGGGCATTGCTGGAGTCATCAGCAAGACTATACTTTGTTTCACTTTAAACGCAGCCAAGTGTACGAGCTAGTGGAACCAATCGGACAGCGCAAAAAAGACGCACCATCATGGTGTTCGTACGTTTCTGTTTCTCGCCCACGATTCGACGCGACTCGGCTCATAACCTCAGTCTTCCTTCTTCGGCATCGACCACGGCTCAGCTGCTGCCTTTCCCGAAGCTCCAGGCAGACGGTTTTCTGGCCAAACCAACCGGCGGTTTCTGACACATCCGCCTGTCCTGCCTTAGCAGGACAGGCGGATGTGTCGGAAAGCGCAGGTTGTGTGTCAGAAAGCGTAATAGCTGTACACTGCACGCGTGGCAGCTCAAGCAAACCTCCAACACCTGTTCACTCCAGAGTGAAACGCGAGCCCTTATCGGTTGCCAGCCGATTACGCCGTGTCGGCCATTCCGCTTCGCTTTTCTTGCGGTTTTCTTTTTTTTTTTTGCGCGTGGTCGGTACGGAAAGACCCTTATCGCTCAAGTAGAACATCACAACGAGAAGGGAGTTCACAATGTGCGTTCAACGTCTGTGCCGCTGCTGTCAGTGTCGTTTGGTCAACGCTGCGCTCCGTACGTCGCTCATCTTGCGCCCGCGGGATCGGAAACTTTGGGATTGCGGATTCTGACGACTTCTGCGACGGGTGCTGCGAGAGTGTGAACTTCGTTTTGTGCCACGTACGATACGATCATGGCTACGGTTGCGACTTCGGTGTCCGTGGACACTGAGGCGACTGCGGATGGTGAGGAAGGCGCCGACGACGAGAACACTGCGGATGACGAAAACGCGGATGACCGTGAAAGAATCACGGATTGTGAAGCCGCCGCAGGTCGTGAAGTGCTCCCTGTGGATGAAAAGATCGTTGATGTGGCTTTCGCGAAAGAGGTCGGTACTGCTGGTGGTGAACCGACTCAAGACGACAGGTGTGACGACCTGGAAACTATTGGTGACAAATCAACTAACGATGATAAACCAGCGGCGGCCTACGAGGAAACTACTTCGGACACCTTTGAATGTGATTCTTGCAGTGTAGTACTTGCGGAAGATGTGGGATTTGCTGGTAACAAGGCAGTCACAGAGGAAAAAGTTGCGACGGTCGACGAGAAGCCTGTGAGTGTAAGTGTTGCGAGTGATGTGGGGGCTGTTCGCGACGTGAGATTGGCAAGAAGCGAAGTAGTCGAAGACGACGAACAGGCGCTCGATGAGGCGGTTTCAAGGGACGTGGAAACTGGTGATGGCGAAGATGCAGCGAGTGACGAGACAGTGGACGACGAAACAAGCCTTGAGGATCGGGATGTCGTTGCCGACGAGCCAGCTGACATCTGCTGGAGCGATCTGGTTAAGAAGTAAGTTTTCGCCTTCAGTTTTTTGGTACGAGCGTTCCGTGTTGACCACAACGATAATCACTAATTGTTTCCCGCTGATAAAACATTTTTTTTTTATTTCTGTAACCTGGGCATTGTTCCACAGTATCGCATGCTGACAACAACGTTCTCTTGTGACTATTTGAAAGTGATTACAGCAACAAGGAGGCGATTAGAAGATCGGTGAAAGTTGTCTAGGGAAAATTGAATGATGCACAACCACCTTGCACAGCTGGGGACAGGCGGGACACAAAAAATAGGACTCCCTCCCTCGTGGCTCCGGCCTAAAGTCTGAACCCTGTCTCCCAGTGGACACGGTCATGAGGTTTGACCAGAGGGAAATTGGCGACTCCCTCACCGGCGGGAAAAGGCGGCAGGTTGATGTTTTTAGTTTCTTTGCCCGATATCCCAGACTGCCTGGTGATATGGGGGAGAAAATTGGCTTGGATGTGCGGGAGGAATCATATATATTTGTCCTTTTGACTTGGGATAGGTGGCGCAAGCTACCGCCCGTTACTAAGAGTACAGCAATTGACAACCATGCATCCATCGGTTGCTGACGTTTGGGCGTAAAAGAAGGACCATAACAAGTGTGTTTGACCAACACCATCTAGAATCATGAAGGCCTCCGAACGCTCCACACTTTCTCCATAGAACGTCATCAGGGTCGGGTGGCGCCAACTCAGCAATTGGACCCGAGCCCGATGCCGATCGTCCTTCGACGTGTTGATTGGATACGAGGCACTGCTGAGCACTGACGCAGCACTCGCATCCAATTCGTGTCTTCGCTTGATCTTACGGTTATGAAGTCAACATTCAAGTTCACAGGCTTTGATTATTCTAAGTGGCGTTGGTTTGACACGTCTGCGAGCAGTGTTTGGGGGTTCGACGTCGCTCTAATAAAAAAAGAGAATCTTCGATGACAAACATTTCGAACATGAACGCACCATTGTTCGTTTGTGTCGTCTGTCAAGGATATTTACGCCAGTTTTTCAGCGCACCCTGACAAAACCGTGTAAATAACCTCGGCTTACATTTTATTTTTTTACCGACGTTGTGGCTACGAGAAATTAAAGACCTGCCCGGCGTTTCGTCTGAAATTTACGCGACGGCTCAACAGGATCACGTCACGACGAAACAAACGGTCTGGTCTTAGCTTTTTAATAGTTCCATCGCTAGATTCATTGACCTTTCTTCTGTTGGATGGCCTCTTTCTTATCATGTAGACTAGCATTCGCATTTTCATAGGAGCGCCTTATCTCTAAAGTGCTCGTTCTATTGTTTTTCTTTTTTTAATTATTTTTCAGTTATACGGCTATATTTAAAACGTAGCTGGTTTGATAGTTTCTTTGCGCACTGCGGATCTGCGTTGTAGGAGTTGGCATAGCCCTAAACCACATCAACACTATAAAAAAAAGTCCCCCCCCCCCTCCTTACTTCGACGTGTATAAACACACAAACAGGCTTTTGCCGTTGACTATTTTCTTCACGGCAATCCTACACTCGCGTTCACCTCAAGAACCGCAGTGAAAGAAGTTCGGCTTCTCGCGTACGTCATTACTTCCCCCGTTCATGTGATGAGTTATAGTCAGTGGTTCTCAACCATTGATGTTTCGCGGACCCCTTGTGAATCGGCGGAGAAGATGGAGGACCCCGCTCGTGGCGAGGAGAGGGGAAAGGTACAGGTTAAATAAAATAAGGATTTGTTAAATTGATATAACTAAGGGCTATAGTTGGGAGGAAGGGGGGGGGGGGGGTGAAGTCGATCTCTCTTATTGACATACACACGAGAAAACTCGCCTTAAAACTGAAACATTTCTTCTCGACCTGAAAAAATACATTGACTGATGAGGCAGGATTCGCGGACCCCTAGAACGCCTTCGCGGACCCCCATTTGAGAACCACTGAGTTAGACATATGTAGGCTCATCCGATACCATCTTTAGCCGGTATGTCATTGTAGAAGCGCGGCACACGAAGAGCGCGTAAAATTTTTCCTCTTTATGTGAGAGCGGGCATAGTACGTATTCGCTGCGGAACTTTGCGTTTGCTAACGTGCTCGCATTGCACAGTTTGTTGCAAATCTCTCGAAGCCCGTTGAAAATATCTAAAGATAGCAGCAGTCACGTGTTGGTTATCTGCGGTGAAGTATACAATTTTGATGGCATACAAGGAACCTATAGTGGTAGCGCGCAGATTGATAGCTTTCCTCGTCATTTATTAAATCCGTAGATAAATCATGACTTATTAAATGCTTCATGGGCGAGCCGAAAGCTGCTCTCCGCCATTCCTTCGGCGGCCGCTCTTAGAGCGGGGACTTTCCTCGGTGTGGCGCTCGGCGGCAGCGATTTCAACTCCCACGTATGCTATACAAAGGCTTGTCGGCTTTGTGCGTCAGCGTTATGGATATTTCCGACCCGCTCCAGGTTGCTAGCACACCAGAGCTCGGCGGGAAACGCCGCAAAGCATCCGTCTTGCGCCGCGTGCTAGCGGTCGCGAGGCGCTAGCACCATAACCGGACGTCACCATTAACCGGACGCCTATACCTCGTTGTGATTGGATTGATCTTGATCGCTTGATCGAATTCTCTTTTTTCTTCTGTCCATGTCGGTATGGACGGGTGGTGTGCCGGCGTTCGTTTGTTTATTAGGGAGTTTTAGTAGACCGTGTTTCCCCTAAGCCCTCCGCTACGAAGAAACCGCCACTGCGCCTGCGAGCCGACGGCCTTGGCTGTAGAGTTCCGGGTAGCGGAGGGGCTTAGCGGAGGGGGAAACACGGTGTACTAAAACTTTCGTAGACCGCGTTTCCCCCTCCGCTAAACCTTCCGTAACGAAGAAGCCGCTACTGCGCCTGCGCGCCGATGGCTGTGACTGTCGAGTTCGGGGTATCGTAGCGGGTTGTGGACAGCGTTGCGGGACGGCGAAAACGGTCTACGAACACTCCCTAATCAGTAATGCGTGACGCAGGTTAAAGACCCCGGCTGGTTGCAGTCGTACTGCACTGACCAAATCGCGTCTTCTGCAGTGGAAGCGCAAGTTTCCTCGTTTGATGCAACTGCATACTGAACGTGACTTTTTTTTTTTTTTTTTTTTGTAAATGGTTTTGTCATGTGAAAGCAAGCTGGATCGACTTTTATTAGAGCCCCTTATAGATAGGATGCTATGCTTGCACCTTACGTCATCCTTAGTCCGAATCTAGCGTAGACAAAACGTTAATCGCCGAGCACAAAATTTATTGGCGTAAAACAACACATACAAAAAAAAATACGGGGATAACGGTTTTGGTGGCGTAAAACCGGGGCCACACTGCTAATACATCATGCAAAAGACAGTCTGCAAACACGAGACACCGAAATATCTCTGGTTCGAATGCCCAAGTTGCCTCTTTGAACGCATTGCCATGCGGCATTCGAAGCAGAGATCTCGCGGTGGCTCGCGTTCGAATCCGTATGCAGGCTGCCTGTTCTACGATGTATGAGCAGTGCGACACCGACTTAACGGAACTCTGTTTTACGACGAAACTTCAACCGAGACATTAATAAATCGGGTTTGTGGGCGAGCCTCTAAAGTCAATATTTGGTCTCTTAATTGATAATCTCTGAAATGAAACGACAAAATTCAAAAAAGAAAATTATACTTAAAAAATAACTCGCACGCGTCGTTTCCCCTGCTCTGCCGATCCATGAGACCCGAGGTCTGTTTAAAAAAAATTGCGTCATATTATAAGCATATTCAACTATGTGGATACCGATAAGGTAAACACCTTAAATTATCGATGCGTATGGACGTGAAGATTTCGCCCGAGTACTGATATTTGTGGTGTCGTGTTCGGCAAACAGTTGTTAAAATATGCCGTCTCCAAGCGAGCTTTCGGAATTCCGCTGATGTAGAAATATCAGAGGTTGAATATGTTCTTTGGCTAATTTTAGTGTATGTCGTTTTTACCTGCAATCGTGGGGGGGGGGGGGGGGGGGGGGGGGGGGGAGGTTTGGTCATGCTTAATATTCAGCACTGCGGCTCGTTTGTGCCCTTACATTCAGTTTATTAAAAATTCAGTTTCTTTGCTTGCTCTGTCTGTCCCGCTGGCTATTTTCGTTGATGTTTTTCTCGTTTGCTTTTATACATAAAAAGTATCGTGTCGTTACATTAAATATACGCTTATCATAGATAGGACGAAGTTCATTATGGTCAGGAAATGAGAGATTATGAATTCAAGGACAAGAATGTTGCTTGTTTACAATGGCGAGCGCACGTCATTATGATGGCAATGTTAACGACATTAGTCACATCAGCAGTTCGGTTGATCCCCATATTGACAGTATTGTCAAACCATATTTTTTGTTCGGGAAACAACTGCCAGAATTTCAGTGTATAGGCTTAGGTACCGTATTTGCTCATCGGGAATGCGTTTTCATAGATGATCGTTACTATAATCTGTTGACTGCAGTAAAAAGAGCCTGGTTTCTTTTTAACCTTATTCCTTCAGTGTGTGAGTAAAAAGTGCGAGCTGGTGGCTTGTACCCAACGAGGTAGAGGGCCTTAGGGCAGTAAACTGGCAGCTGAAAGTGTCCCCCAATTGGCCGTCGCCATGTTGCATATTTTTGACCACTAGACACGTGACCTTATAGTTTTACGTCTAGATTTTAACGAAGTACCGCACACATAATTGCTTATTGATCGTTAATAACAGTACTGACGAGATAACTTATGTTTCGTTTGTTTCAAGTCCAAAATGTGCTTTTGCGACAGAAACTCGAGCAGCTTCGCAATGCCTCCGCTAGATTCCGTCAGCCGCGGTGCTGTATTTTGGGTTTTTATCGGAGCTTGACACTAGGGTGACCACCTTCCTGCTAGCGAAATGCGGGACACGCGGGAGGGGGGGGGGGGGGGGGGGGTATAGAGAAAATTTATTTACACGCACTCAACGAAACGAGGCTCTGTTAACACATGTGTTATCCTGTACCGTTTACACACTTCTTTCTAA